CCCACATATTTTTCACAAGCCTTCGGATACGTGCGCCAACTACGAACTTTCACGTTTCCCCGAGCGCGGTGTGTTTCCGCGAATATGCATTTCCCTTCTCGTACACGTGCGCGGCGCGAAGAGGAGGAGAAAGAGCATAAAACTTTTCCGCTCGTTTACGGACGGTCGGAGGTTTTCGCGTGCAATTTCTTCACCGTTGCGCCCCGCTCGCGCATATTTTTCCGCACTTTACTCGCGGCGCTTAATGGTCAAATACGCCTTTCGCATTTAAACGCGCGTTATAGGCCGCGCGAGGTGGAGACCGTAAAAGCGAGGAGAGCCTTAAAACGGGTCCGCGTAATTCGATATCCTCGGATGTTATTAAAGCGACCGCGATTCTCGATTTTCCATCAATTTTCCATCGATTAATGTTAATAGAAAGTATAACGATGCTCTCCGACTATCGTGTTTAATGATAAATGCTCCGCTTAATTTCATGTCATTTCTGTATTCTATTTATGTTTTATAATTAAAACGTAAATTTGAAATTGGCTAGTTGAAATCTATTAAATTGCGAGACAGAGAGACAGAGGGAGATAACATGAAAAAAAAACCCCTGCATTGGTATTGGTAAAAGTTGACTTTTGTATACGGCTTTATTCTCGGATTACAAGCTATTAGCGTTCCTGACAGCTCCCCTTTGTTTCGCAGACTCGACCTCTATTTAGGTTCAGGTATCGGGTGTACCTGGTTCTAAAAAGGACCGAAAGGTACCGGGGCTTTGCCACTATACAGTCGTATTTTCAATAATCTGTTATATTGGGCTATTAAGACAAAAGTGTTAGTCATATCCGGCGGATAATCGATCGCATAAATCCCAGCGCAAATAGCTGGAATGTTTAATTCCAGATTCGGTTTAAATTTCATGGTTTATAATGACAGCGCACGTTCACTTTTAGATACGGTTGTCGAACGCGTCATATATCATTGTAGCCATAAGGAAATAGACTCAGCACGCTGCAAATTTTCTATAGGATTTTCTATATAGTACGCATCTCGAAACCTCAAACGTAAAAGGAGAAAAAAAGGCAAAACTTTTGAATTTTTCGTTCCATAGCAGGCAATAATTGTGCTTTGGGCGTGAGCAAAATGAGAAAAGAAACTTTGGGTCGGTTCTTTTTCCCTTAGGAATATATTTTTTATAGTATTTAGGGTGAAACCGGAATTACCCCTGTCGTTACATTATATTTGACATGCTGTTTCCTTTTTATGTATTTGCCAACAATCGTCTTGCTACACCCAGAAGAAAGATTTAGTGAGGTTAGACAAATGAGAGTGAAATCATATTTCCTTGAATCTACAAAATTTTTATTTATATACTAAAACATTCTCTAGATTTGAAGAAATAGATATGAATTCTCTTAGATTCCACACTCTAATAGGGTCATCAGAAATGTTTGATTTATAAACACTTAAGCAAGAAACATGTTTGATTTATCAAACGCAATTGGACAAGCATTTGAATATCAAACATTGCAGAATCTTATATTGTGTTGCTACAACTAAGCACTAGTCAAATTAAACAAATATATACATGTGATTTTCAAACGGAATCAAAATAAAAATATTTTGTATTTTATTGTTCAGAAATTCAAACAGATTTATATTCCAAACACTTACTTATAACAAAAACTTTTTTAAGACTGAAAGATTTAAAAACTTTTGACAAACATATACTGCTTTTTTGCAACACATAACTCAACGTTTGTTAGCATAAGAAAACTATGGTAATATTAAAATTTAATTTAATTTTCTAATACAGTTAATAAAGTTTATCCTTATAATTTTATTTGTACACCTTTGAAAAAATTTTAAGATACACTGCAGTGTATTTTTGCAAAGTATAAACTTAACTTGCTATAGTATTACTGTATTGTTCTCATTATTAAAAATAAAACATTTAATCTGCATAACATTTTAGTTATTCAGAAAATCTAACACTTTTGATGTATTATATATCAAACACCAATTAGACCAAACATTTCTAAAATGTTGGAAATTTCAAACGCTGATTATTTAGAGTGCAGTCTCGGTCAAATAAAATTTTGGTTAAAGTAAAGAAATCATTTTTTTGAAATTAAATAAAACTCCAGTAAGATCAAAATTGAAACGAATTCGATTTCAAACAAACTTTCTTCCGGGTGTAATATTATCGTACCTTCAATCTACGAATAGACGAAATTGGCATTTAATGTTAAACCGAGGGGGAAACCGCTGACGAAAATCTTGTGCACCAATGCCCACTAATTCTCAGTGGTCATTACTTTATCTTATTTTATCACTGAAAAAAAATCTGATAGATTCAACCAGTCGTCTGTTAGAAAATGGACGAATCAGAATTCCCTTTAGGATTTGCCAGATTTGTAGTGAAGTCTACCAAGCTTCTGGTTATGAAATATCTTTCATGGTAAATCCTAAAGGAATTCTGATTCGTCCATTTTCTAACATACGTTAGAATCTACCAGATTTTTTTTCAGTGATCTTTATAATGTCCGAGCAAGGTCTATTGCCCAAAAGATGTCTAGTAATATCTAGTAATGCCGCAAATCTGAACACCACAATGCCCCCAGCGATTTCCCCCGCGTGTTAAACGGTGTGTCCGGCGATTGTACGACTATCGATTCTCTTGCCAGATTTTTATCTCTACACTCAATATTTCATATTAGTCGATTCTACTGGAAGTCGAGTCGAGTTGGGGCGCGTTTAGAGATACTTTACCGTTAATGTTTTCAAGAATTATCCTATAGAGAACTGCCGTTGGCTTCCCTGTTTCTCCGACTTCGTAAAAGTCGGAACTAGGTAAGCGCGTTTCGCGGCAAACGAGCGGCGCGAACGCGAGCTATTATCTCCCCGCGTGGTCGCTGCGTGCAATTTGAATTTCAAAAATGTTGACGAACCTGGAAGCTCAAGTCCGTGAGGGGAACGCCGTCTTTTCGTCGCGGGTCATTTGCAAGCGCGCGCGCGCGCTCACCGCCACCGGCCTGGCGTCTCAAAAGATCGCGCAATTAGTCGCACCGATGAATAGACCGCCGGTACAACGATTCCTTTTGAACCCTACCGTCACGCGTTTTCCTTTCGTTCCTCCCCGGGGCTATTTCTGGCTCGGACTCGTGCGAAATTCATCGCCCGAATTCCTGGCACGGAGTCATCGCGAGTTTCACAGTTTTCGGCGAAGACTAATGGATAGACTACGGGCGCCGTAAACGCGTGCTTTATCGTCCGGCCGCGCCGTATAACACGCGAAATGGACACGCGTGTAACGAGCGTGTGTAACGACCGTGCGTGTCCGGTAACGTCTCGAAGACGCAAATGGACTCTTCGCGTTCAGACTTTCGGGGTCTTCTCTGATATTTTTCATATAACATTAGGCTTGTCTTCTGTTCCTACACAGAGAGAACGGTTTCTTTGAATTTAATAAATTTTATTAGATTCAAAGAAATTTATCTTTTGGAACAGTCCAAACAAACCAATTGTTGGTTCAACAAATATGATTATTTGACCTTTCAAATAATAAATAGCTTTACTTCAAATAAAAGATTTGTTTGAAACGAAAGGAATATTCTTTTTAATCTAAACGATATTATTGTTTCATTCAAACAGCATTATCGTTTGATAGAAAATATGTGAAACAAATGTATATGCATACATCTTTCTCCCTCTACATTAGAATTTTCCCTTCATTAAAAGAAGAAAGATAAACACTGAATTAGTACACTATGTTTAGCCATAATAAAAAATAGGCCATTAAATGCTTAAACTGCGTCTGCTGATGCGGTCGCTTATATATCATAGCTGCCGCGATTTTACTTACGAGTTCGGCGGCCATCTAGTGGCAGCACCAAACTTTATAAGCGCCTGGCCAAATAATATAATTATTTCATTGAAAGATATTACTTCAAATAATAGTGTTTTTTCTATCAAATAATACAGGTTGTTTGAATAAAACAACAAAATTCTTATTCAAAACATATAATGTTTCGTATAAGCATATATTGTTTGAATGAAACAAATTTCAACCAAATAAATAGGAATACTAAATCCAAAGAAACCGTTCTCTCTGTGTACACTAGTGCAATAAATTAGAGTAAGACAAGCACATTTTTTCTAATTTTAGCTTACTGCACTAGTTCACCAGTGCACGAACAGAAGACAAACCTATTGATTAAATTAAAAACTACTGACGTCCAATAATAATTGAAGGCTGACTAAAGCCAACGGCACACGATACTATTTTTCCTACTGGATTACTTACGAGAGCCAGTCAGGATTTAGCCTCAAGTCACCCAAACGAAAACTCTGCCTCCTGATTGGCTCTCGTAAGCGATCCAGTGGGGAAAAATAGTATCGTGTGCCGTTGGCTTAAGGCTCGAACGGC